TTTTTAGTTAGAAGGAGTCTTAACACTGCCTCTCGCGTCACTCTGGGCGTGAGTGGCCATTTGATAATTCTTCCCTCACAAAAAGAAGCTAAATACTGGTTTCAGTATTCTTTAAAATTAATCTTATTTGCTTGGTTCACCATAAAGTTAGTATGTATAAAGACCTTTACTAGATAAAATGCGGAGAGGTTTCCTATATATACTCATGATTTTTGTTTGTACCTTACATATACCTACATAAAGGTATGCGACATGATTTAAGGCTCATTGTTAGTTGGCGCAGAGATTGGGCTACCGACTTCGGTTTCTCTACTTCTCTCTGGTTTCGATTCTAGCACGGAACAATTCTTTGTGAGACAATAAGTTCATAATTGATTCATGAAATTGTATGTTTGTAAACACACCCGTATTAAATTTAAAAAATGTAACTTATAATAATTGGTCTTAAAAATTGTACACCTTATTTGCTTGCGAATCCAAAAAACCAAACTTCAAGAGTAACTCAGTTACAGTTTCTAGCAACACTATTAACAAACGCTGAAATAATAACTCGGCACGCACCAAGATAAACTTACAGAAGAAAGCTATTATTAACTACCTAAACACAACTCGGGCAAGGTGTGAAAAACGATAAAATATACAAAAGTAGGTACCTCACAAAGGAAATTAACGTCAGAAATAATAAATGTTCATAAATGTTCACTTTTCATTAGTAATATATTAACTAGTCAACGTATGACCTAGTTAAGTCGGCTAGAACTTAATAATAAAACTGTTTCATAAAAAAACTGTTTATTATTGAAGTCGAGAAAGTGGGACGATGGCACAAGTGCTCCTGTTTTATTGTGTTAGTCGGTATTTTGCGTAATTTTATAGCTTATTTTGGAGATTATAAGACTTATTTTTCTGTAGGTGCTTGTTTAGTAATATATTTCTTGGTGGAGCTTTTAAAAAAAATCATAGCCTCAATATAGCCAAAATTGTCGAGCACAAACTAATATTATTTGTATGTCGAAAAAAGTATTAATTACTTTTTGAAGTAAACAAAAAGCACCGTTTTAATTAACAAAGGTAATAAGGCTAAGTCACAAGTTTCTTATTATACCTCGTTTTGTTGAAGAAAAAGCAACTATTTTGAGTACAAAAGAGGATCTATACAAAGCTATTTTATACGAGTTTCCTCCCACATTATTCCTTGTAAACAAAGAAATTAATTTCCTCATCCCCACACAAAATTCTCTCCCCTTACTAGGTCAAACCGGTTTGAACCGAAAACTTCTCGTAATTAGTGGGGGACCAATCAATTTGTGAGTGGTTTTCTCGCTAAGTTTTTCAACAAATTTCGCGCAGACCGCATTTTTTCCGCCCTATCGATTAAAATGAAAAAAATGTTTTGTTAAATCTTTGAAAGGTTGGTTGAGTAGGCTGAATTGTTGTGAAGTTTTTTCGATGGCTAATTAAACAATAGTTTCTGAACATGCTTAATTCGATGAATTAATTAATAGTTACAATATATTAGTTTTATATCTATTAAGTTAAGATAACATCTTCTTCTATTCTTTTAAATTCTTCTTAAGTTTAATAACACGCAACTTGTTCTTGCAATTTGAGTATTACTTAAAAAGCCGTGAAACGTGACATTTTTGCTCGCTTTCGTTACACCTTTTCTAGAAGATTATGTTCAAGTTTATTCATTGGAGTACATACTGTAAGTTTTTAACTTGCTATTATATTCTTGGACACTTAACCCTCACTGGCTGCTGTTCTCAGAAATATAAGTAATGCATTTAGACAACTATAATAATTGCAACACAGTTATTTTCCTGACTCTCTCTCAATTGAGATAAAGTAATTATTATAACAGAACTGAGAGTCAATAAAATGATCTGTAGAAGTAAAATAAAATTTTGTTACTAAAATATATCTACCAATAAGTATGATATTCCTTAAGCATTATATAAAATTGTCAACATCGAAAACGTCTTCACTTTATTTTAGAGAAATGTCTTTTTCCTTTTAATCCTGCTAATTCTGTCTAATGGCCTTTAATTGTGCAAAACCCTCCTACGAGAGGTGAACGTAAGTAACATAAATAAAACTTACTTAAGTAGATTTTGAGGTTTTGGATGTTACCAACTAATAACAACTAGTTTATTCTCACGTTTTTTTTGTTATCATTATTTAGTCTTATGTATCTTCCTTTATTTAGTCTCACGATATAATCTGGTTATAGATATATTATTCTAAGCCGAGCAAACAGTTGAACACACTAACCTATTAGGTGTAATCTAACCTGGCAATTTTATGTGTGAGAGGGCCATGCTTCGGCACGAATGGGCCAGTTCGACCGGATTGATACCACGGCCTCACAGAAAACCGGCGTGAAACAACCACAGCGTTGTGTTTCGACGTCTGAGTGAGGTTACCAGAGGCCCAATCGTTCCGCTCCCCCAATCAATCAATCCCTAAATCTCCAAATCGCTAATCCCTAAAAGGTTGGCAACGCACTCGTAACTCCTCGTCGCGCGTGTCCATGGGCGGCGCTGATTGCTTACCATCAGGTTATCCGTCTGCTCGTTTGTCGATCTATTACATAAAAAAATTGAATATAAACCTGAACCTTTTGAACTGTTATTTATAACTCTACCAAGGGTGGATATTATGGTAAACCCTCTATATAATGAAGTCTAGCCCAGTGGGCAGAAAAGAGATCTTAATTATCATGATAATTCTGTCCATCTCCAACCCCCAAATTTCCTATTTCCAAAAAGCTGGCAATGCACTTGTAAGTCTTGTATTGCTAGCACGTGACACGACAGTTGGTTTTCACAAAGAAACAAAAAAAACACACAATTTTTAAATTTCGAAAATAAAATCTAGCTCAGCATCTACTATAAACAGGACTTGAAAAGTAGGAATCTAAATTATCTACGAACGATACTAAACGTCTTATCATACGTCAAATTAAAAAGCTAAATTGATATTGTAAGCACCATGCAACAGCTGAATTGGTGTAAATCACTAAGTTTATACGACTGATGGACAGGCCGAATAGAAGGAACTCATTCACTGGCATTAAAATGTTTAATAATAATATTTTAAACGAAAATCTAGGTGTAGATAATATAATTTATAAGATTTAGATACAGTTTTATGATATAGGTACAATGACATGAAAAGTTGAGACGTTCCGTTTTTTATGGAGGAAAATTAAGAACTCAATGATAATGATTAAGTAAAATAAATTAAATTTACTCTTAACTTTTGATATTGTAACATAGAATTTTTTTTCTTAAATTTGACTACAAAAAAGTCACGAAACCCCTCGTTTGTTTGTGAATTTTTGACTGTAAACTATGAGAAAACATACAAGACAACTGGAACAGGACTGTACTTTTAAGAATAGCATTTAAGCCTTAGACTGCCGACAGAAAACTGTGGAAGGCAAATCATCCGCTTACGGAGGTCACCGTTGATCCCCATGGCGCTTAACGTGTTAATTATAAACGTACAATATTAGGTATATATTCTGCTCTTAGTTAGCTTGCACATAATCCTTACTCATCATTTAAAAAAATCACTTGCACAAAATAATATAACGCTGGACATCGGGGTTGCCCTTTAGAATAGGGTTTCATCGTATTTCCTTCCCGGCAATATCCGGACTTAGCCCAGGACCCGACTGCAATCTCCGTTTTAGAAAAAAATCGTCAGATTGTACCTAATATACTATATTTCTAGAATATTTTCTTCAGATTTTAGTATTTTCTCGAGTTGACAGCTAAGAAAAAATATTACTTTAGATTAAATAAATTAAATTTAATGTTAGCTCTGGTTTTACGGTGTTATATTTTGAGTTACGTACCTATCAATCATTTGTTTTTTTTTTATTTCAGCAAATTTATTCCTATTCAAAGCTTATTTATTGATTTTACAGTGGGCGCAGTGGCTGGACAACTGGCTTCTGTGGTTGCACAGATTGTTACGTATTCAAAAGTTATTGTTCTGAGTCTGTCATATTCACAGATGAATAAGGATAAAATTTTAGTACGCTATTTAAAAAAATAATTCTATGAATAAAGACATAAATAGTATAATGAAATAAATAGGTAATTATTAAATGCAAACTAGCTTAAGGGTTACAACTTAAATTATAGAAAGGTATTCAACAATTCAAAGATTTACTGAACATTTTTACAACTTAAACTCGCTCACAACAGAATAATAAGTTGGAACATAACTTATGTATGTTCAATGTTCTGGTAGACTACGACTTGTGAAACTTAACTCGACCGTGAATAACGTCTACTAGTGGACGAGTACTCTCTGCTAGTAAACTACGCAATTTATATTATTTATTGAGCCATATTTCGTTATTTGTATTTTCCTTTGAATCCATATGCGAACTATTTGGAATTATTGTCTAGGTACTCCATTTCTGATATCGATGCCTTTCCTATACATATACATGTAGGTAGGTATAACTTTGATGAGATGCGTTAAATGTAGTACGGGAATTAAACATATCAAAAGTTGACAGTTTTTTTATGAGATAGGTTGTTGGTAAACGAGCAGACAGATCCAGATGCTTTTACGAAATCATAGTAATTATTATAAAGGGCACCTGTAGCGATCAGATATACCAAGTGTTATTACGAAAATGTAAGCATTTACAATCGACAATTTAAAAATACATAAAAATGGATGACCAGAATTAATAAAAGAAATAATGAGTACGTGAATCGGCCACCCCTGCATGTACTATATTTATACATAAAGATGTAATCGCAATAATACAATTACCTGATGGTAAGAAATCGCCGCCACCCATGGATACTCGCAATACCAAAAAGTGTGTTGTTGGCCCATTGTAAGTTATTAGGTTATTGATGTGTCTAAAGTTTTCATAATCACCCTTAAGAAAACTAAAACTAATCGCTCATAACTGCTTTTTATAAGTTTTAAAATTATGAAATCTAATAGTGCCATTTTTGTTACAGGTTAGCACCAAGGACGGCATTTAAATGAAGGTATTGCTTTCAAATTCATTTATAAAAGAAAAATGCAACTATAATACCCGATAAACGCTTATACATTCAACCCTTAGGTAGGTACTACATAAGACTCCCATAATTAAGTCCACTCTCAGTCCCTATGCCCGGTTTTTCAAGGGGATAATCATTAATCATCAAATGACTTTTCTCACCCAGGGTGAGGCAAGAGGGACCGTCAGACTCCGTTGCTCGCCGTCCTCAGACTTGCGCTTACGGTGACTGGATCGTATGATCATGTCCCGAGGACCCTAAAGATATACTTAAAAAATAAAATACCCTTATTTTTCTCTTTCCTTCTAAAAATAAATAGATAATCGGCCAGTTTTAAAAGGCCTTCAAAAAACAAATAAAAACTCCATGGTACATTCGACAGTCAATTGGCCAGTTTTAAACGGCCTTCAAAAAACAAATAAAAACTCCATGGTACATTCGATCGTCTGTTTATATTAGTGCCTGTATGCATAAAGTTTTACTACAATTGCAAGATTCAGTGCCACGCTCCGCGAATCAATTCTACGAGTACATTGGCCAGACCATAAATAAACATTCGAATGAACGTATGTTATACATCGCTTACGCAAATCCAGTATCAAGTGACTGCTAATGATTAGGAATATCAAAAACGCGTGTTAAACACATTTTGAGCTAAAATTTGCTCTACTAATATACTTAAGTTAAAGTAGTTAATTATGCTAAGACGGTTAGTTTCAGGTTATATTACGTTGATCTGTTAAAATATTTTCTTGTTCGGATACTTTTCGAAGAATGATTTCTGGAATCTTACGAATATTCGTAATCAAATCAATGCAATTATTTTTAAGCGAGCATTCATAGCATTTTTGTCTTGCGATGATGGAAAATATTGTCATCCAGTGAGGAAAATAGGTATATTTTTTCATTATAATCAGCTAATTTGGAAGCTACAAAATTTGTTAGTCGTAGTTGAAAATTTGAATACTCACTACGTTTTCTGCCAGGTATTTTTACATGAACATTTCTAGATTTCTTTACCCTCGGTACCGTTTATTTTGATGAAGGTCGTCCACAATAGACCACATTTTCGGGCTCATTTTACTAGAAACCTACCTCTCTACATGTTGAATAATACCTTACCTACAAGGTATTTTCATCGTGGATACCTGAATCATTTAGATTTCAAATATCTATTGTAGACCGCAATCAATTCTGTGAGGTATACAACTCGTCTATCAAAAGCTAGCTTTTCTCTATTCCAAGTTATTTTAGGGAAATAAATGTGTATTCAAAGATGAACATTGAAAAGGCAAATCGAAAAGTCGCCAGTTCTGAATACAAACGAAATAGAATAGAGCATTCTGGAGCATAGATAAGCTAATACAGTAAACGCCTTACGCCTTTTTGGTTGTGTTCAATCGAGTTACTAACGCTTGTTTAGACGAGAGACGCCTTTGTCGATCCACTCAGTTGAGCATGAGTGTCTAAAGGGGGCAACACACGGGAGCTTTGTGTGTTGATTAAATCCATAGTCCGTTGTAGTGTACCAAATCTTTGGGCAGACATTTTGACGGCTTTCATCGGCCGTTCACTCACAGTTTGTCAATGTCAGTGCGTGACAAGGGGAAAATTGCATCTGTTTCTAAACCGAATTTGGTACGCTCCACTTTCATATTTTTTTGCGAAAATGGTTTTTGTTTTCGGCAGTATACATATTTCAACGCGTTATTTGAGTAACGTTATAAATAAAATTACTATACAAGAGGCTTAGCTATGTGATACAAAATCCTCGAAGTATTAAGAAGTAAGGGTGGGGCTTATTAAACTTTACAAGTGAATTCGAGATGCCCAACTAATCAAGGTCACTATTACTCGCAACCACTTAAGCAGGCCGTGTAGTCTGAACGCTTCTTAAACCACCTAAGATCTGATCCTAACATCTCTTTTTACTTTGGTCCCCTTTTTCTAAAGCGATAAATTTAAATGTCTTCCGCCCCGGGTAGGGCTAGAGAGTGTCAAACCTCAGTGAGGAGAGTGAAAACCACCCCTTTATTCTGCTTCGGGCCAGGATCGCAGTACACAGTTGCGCTGGACTGGAAACTCTAGACCTAAAATTAATGCAGAGATCAGCAACAAAAATCTTTCTCAAAAATAATCCCTAAAGGATTCCACAAGGAGCATTTAAATGATTATATTTGGTACTGAAGTCTTCAAATCAAATTCACATTATCTAGGTTACTAGGAACCCCAGTTTTAGAAGACACGTCCTGGCTTTTAGGTGCTAAAAGTTTTAGGTGTTTCTACCTAAATTTCGTTAGGTCAATACTATATTGTGTAGTCCCCTTACATCACCGTCACACGTCATTCCCAACACGTGTGACGTGCACAAGTGTGAAACAATATTTACTTGTAATTTATCTTCGTTAGATATCACCTGCGATGTTTTATTCTATGTATATCGTTAGGTATGTGTGTTGCTAAAGGATTTTCGCTGAAAGGATATGCTTTAGGCTCCCTTGGGATCGGTGTATTACTTATTTCTATTAATGGAAAATGTGTGAATTTATATTCTTATCATTAAATATGTATTTTAACGTCATGTTCAATCGTTGTAACGTCTTTTTATGTGATGATAAGCAATAAGTGCCGCCTATGGACACCCGCGACAACAGAGGAGTTAGAAGTGCGTTGCCAACTTTTTGGGTTCTTCATTTACATTCTCATTGACATGGTGGAACACAACTCATTAGTGGTTTCACGCTGGTTTTCTGTGAGGTCGTTGTATCACTTCGAGCCGACTTATTTGTGCTGAAGCTGCGCTCTCCAACACTTACATCTTATTGCAATTTTTCCTGTTACATCGCATGTACATTTATAATTTTCTATGAAAATCTCGTTTCCTAGAAAAGTTAATCTGCAATATAACTGTTCAAGGAAATAATATTATTACAGATAGAAATTTCATATTTGAATTACAGAAACTTTTTATAATTTTATACTACAATATACATAGTTAATTTATATTACAGTAATTGCTAGCCTAACCCTTTAGGGAAAATCGCTTCGTGTTTTGTTAATATAATATAATTAATTACATTTGAACACAAATACCTTGATATAATTAACTAATGAACCTTCGAATATTGACCTCCAATCGATCATAATAAATTTAATTAAACTTCATATTCGATAAATCATTACGTTATAATTAATATGCTACTGCAAAATAAACCATTGCATTTTAGTTATAGAGTGGGAATTAGATTGACATGTAGGAAACATAATTTTGGTTCACACAAATCCTATGCCAGTGACATCGTGTCCATATTGTCAACGCAAATATTTGACTACGAATGTGCTCACAAATTGTATTTTAGTTATTCATGTATTGTTGGTTACCGCAATCCGTTTAATCCTCCCACTGTTTGCCTGTTTTATGATTTACTAGCTACTCCCGCGCGGTTTCACTCGCTGCTCGCTTCTATTTGATTGTAGCGTGATGTTTTATAGCCTATAGCACTCGGGAACATTGTAGCTATTAATCAGTGAAAGAATTTTGGGAATCCGACCAGTGGTTCCAAAGATTACCCCCTACATACAAACTTACAAATTTTACCTCTTTATAATATGAGTATAGATAGATACCTAACTAACTACCTAACCTACTTATAATTACACTAGGGAACCGCCTCAGCTTCGCACGGGTGCAATGCTCATACTAAAATTGTCCACAATTTATTGGATTTTATTATTTACATAACCTTCCTCTTCAATCACTCTATCTTTATAAAAACCCGCATTAAAATGCGTTTTAAAGATTTTTTTTATCTAATAGACCGGCAAATGAGCAGACGGCTTACCTAACGGTAAACAATCAGCGCCACCCATGGACGCTCGTAACAGAGGAGTTACGAGTGCGTTGGCAACCTTTTGGGGATTAGGGTGTAATATGATTGAAAGACTTGGATCTTGGATACTTGACTTTATTTATACGTTACACAGTCCTGCAGCTCACTGCACCAGAGTTACATTGTCAATGGCCGACACTTGCTCGGCCACCCTCTTTATAGTGATATGACGACATAGACAATAATAGTGCAACACTGATTAGTAATACTAATCATAGACAATACAACATCCCCCTTGTTAAGTTTAAATTAACCCTTTACAAAACAGACTTATCACTATGACAACTTGACAATATTATAAACGACTTATACTTATATAACTTGACTAGGTACTTAATTTACAACATATAAGATTACAAAATATATTTCTTATCTTAATCTATTTCTTCTATTAGCCTTCTTGTGGGCTTTACAATACGACCTGAACGTGTAACAAATTGACTACTTGAGGATCGAGATGAGAGTTCTTGAGGTCCAGCCTTCTGACTGTCACCATCCTCTCTCCCTTGCGATGACAAAGACGACGACGACGATGAGTTGGATAGCATAGGAGAGAACTTATGCCTTAAGTGAATCCTATTTCTCCTATACCTAACTCCATTGACATCCTCAACGACATATGACCTATTATTTGCCAGCCTTTGCTTGACAATAGCCTGTTCCCAATTACAACTAGGTTGTCTTTTGAAGTAGACATGATCATTGGGATATAACAATGGTAAAGGCTTAGCACTTCTATTATAATATTTAGACTTACAATCATTATTCTTAGTTACACATTCTTTGTAATCTTTAAATGTTACTACCTTTGGTTTTAATTTCTTATACGACTTAGGGACATTGTCTCTTAAATTCCTAGACATTAAGAGTTGAGCTGGGGACGGTAAATTATTCTTAGGTGTGTTTCTATATTGCAACAAAGCTATATAAGGATCAGACGAATTTTCTTTACATTTTTTCAACATATTTTTGACAATTTTAACTGAACTTTCAGCTTGACCATTAGACTGTGCATGATATGGACTAGTAACAACATGTTCTATGTCCCATTCATGTAAGAAATTTTTAAATTCTAAAGATTGGAAAGGAGGTCCA